GTATCCAGTATCAATGCAGGCACACTTGCCAACAAAAGGAGTTAGCCGGCTCCCAGTTCAAGCTCCTGCCGCTGTTCTCCACATCCTAAGTCAAAGCATCAGCAGAAAGACAGAAGGGAATCTCATCCTGCACTCTTGTGATATGTCAGAAGACGTTTCCACTCCATTGCTTATATTGGGCAACTGGAATAGATTAATTTGGGATAAAAGATGTCATGGCGTAAGTGATAAAATAGAGCAAAATTAACGCAGTGGGATCACACTGACTTACACTGCATTTCCGAGACATTCTCAAATCTACGATTAATCCTTTGCCTCCTCCTTCTCCACAAATATTGTCTCCTTTTTTGCAAGGCAGAAGACCCAGGAAATCTTTCTGTCAACATTTAACGACCATGCGTTAAGCAATGGAGAACTGCTCCTTTCTGTCCTTTGCTCCCTGTGGCCACATCCTACTTTCCCAGCTTGGCAGGCTTCACTCCATGTTGTTCCTTCCACAGCTTCTTTCAGCTGGTATCTAAAGCCTCCCCCTGGCAGTCTGCAGTCTCTCCGCCTACTGACCCTGTTCTGCCAGGGCTGCAGTCTGCACAGCAGCTGTCTCTGAAGGGAAGCCTCTTTAGGCCTGCTCACAGCTGGTGGAGGTAATAAGGCTCTTCATTTATCTTCTTCCAATCTGCTGCTGCCTACACATAGATCCACACTCTTAGGACTTTGGAGGCTGAGCTAGTCAGGAATTTCCTATGTAAATCATTTAATTTTGACAGAAAATTCTGTTTGCACAGAATGAGACTATTCAGAAAAAGTTTTAAATCCAGAACTGATTTGGAATGATTTTGTTCTGAAACTCTATTTCCAGTTTTACTCACTATTTCCAGACGTGTTTTTTCTAAACTTGTTCTGAAAAGGAATGCTGGTATTTCTAGCATTTGTCCAAATTCAAAAAGAAAAATACGAGCATTTCCCATGGACTAAATATTCTAATTTTGAACTCTTTCTTCTTAAAAGAGCTCTTCCAAGAGCCAAGGCCTCACATCTGTGTAAATCAGTGAGACTGAGTCACAGCAGAAGAGGATCTGATACCATTACCTGTATCTCCAGACCAACTGTGAACTGCAAACCCTATCTGCTGTGACATTTAAAATCCTGATCTCTCAATCACCTAAAAAAAAATTGCTATTTAGAGCTCAGTGTCCTTACATGATAATTATTCCTCAGTTCCCCATGGAAGAGGATTTGCAACACAAAACAATCCTGGTTAGCCTGGGTAGTGCTCTGAGGGCGCTTATCCTCATCACGAGACCAGTAATTCTCTTCCTGTGGTTTCTGAGAGAGAAATACTGAAACGACAGCTTGATTGCAGTTGACTTTGAAGCATATCTAATTATCTCATTCAATGTGCACCTGTTATAGGTCTTATAGGACTTTCTAATAAAATGTGGAAAAACGTAATTTAACCCTTTCCTCCACTTTAAGGTTTCCAATATTTGTAGATTCCACATCTCTGACACTAAGCATTCCTCGACAAAAAAGAAACAACATAGTTAACGTTATCAAAATTAGGGTAATTCCCTACCTCAGCCAGATGAAACACTAGGTAATGTCATCTGTGTTCTTAATAGTTTTGTAGCCTCCTACGGGAATATGAAATATACACTGAAGAAAGATCATCACTGGAGACAGACCATGGGCCTGCAAAGGGAGTACAACTGAACAGAAAGCTTAAAGCTGCTTGAAAAGTAGAAATTTCAGCATTAATACAAGACACCTTTAAGGTTTAAGCATCATCTCCAAAGTGAAGTACCTATAGCCATTTTAGGGCAGAAAGATCAGCCTAGTGTTCCTTGGAAAAGAGGGCAGGTGACTGGCTTCTCAGTAAGCGCTTACAAAAAAAAAACCTGTCCCTGTGTAGATTCTACTCTGGTAGAATTAGTAGAATCTAACAGATTCATACTCTGACTGTTTAACAGTTAGGAAACTTTAAGTGAACTGTTAGTGACCAACTCTTTTGCTAGTCCTCAGAATTGTGTCAGACTGACATTCCTCCCATGATTGCCACAAAAGACTGCAGCTGAGGAAGGATTTGTTCAATACTTTAAGCATACTGACCCATCTCCATATCTGGTATTTCTATTTCATATACACTTGGTTTCATGTAATGAGAATTCATAGCACAGAATGAATTAGAAGATATAGGCTATGCTGGAACAGCTGACATCAGAGAGACGGGAGAAAGAAACAGATTAGGGCAGCTAAAATCCTGCAGATTTACCTGTGCTGCTTGAAATGTTTAGGCTCTCAAGATGGAATCAGATCTGTCTAAGCAGGTACCCCTACAAAAACATCTTAACACATAACAGACGTTATTCAGGAGGCAAATTATTGGGAGAATTAAGTTACTTCTAAAAAATGTAGCAGTTGCACCAGTTTAGGGATACTATGATGTAGTGTTTTTCCAGCTGTAGACTACTGTTGATCTGTAGAACAGCAGGGCTCTGAGATAACTGAGAAAATCTTCTAAACCATATACTCATTCCCGCACAGCAAAAAAAAAAAAATGTGCGAAAATAACAGTAATCAATAATCATTCAAAAAGTAGCTTAATCTTGGTTTCACGGCAAATGAAAAATATCACTGCAGCACTGTCTAATGTGGCTCACAAGATGAAACTATCTTTCCATTAAAAATGGTTGATAAATTCAGAAACCATGCCCTCATGTTTTTCTGAGCTGAGTTGCACATGACAGTAACAAATTTCTATCAATAACTAATAACGTTTGTCTATTGATTTTTTACAAAAAGAAAAAAGAGGTATCAGCTAGGAACACAGTGAAATTTATAATACAATAGACAACAGCAGACACTGCGTAGGGATCAAAGCTGAATAGGCAGAGATTTGAGCTATTTGTTCCATCTAAGAAAGAGTTAGTGCCGTTCCTTCCTTCCTTCTAACCGTAAGATATTATCAATTTTCTAAAGATTCAATAACAGTACATTTATTACCTGGGCATTGCCCTGCAGATTTCCAAATGCTTTTGAAGCACTGTATTATTTCAGTAAGCACAGAGAACATCCACATCTGATTTAAATTATTTCTGCTTAAAACGTATAGAGTATGAAAATGTTCAAAAGAGGGCTTATATCTTATGAAATATTAGATAGATTTTCCTGTTTAGGAACCTCTAAAGGAAATTTTTCCAGGATCATCTCTTTTAACCCTTTCTGTAGAGTTTATTGGATATGGTGTGGAGATTCAAGAGCTAAAACACATGAGCCCATCAGAGATATCACTGTAAAAGACCCCTTCTGACAAGAATCTCAAGATAATTTTTACTCTCAATAATACCACCTGCCTTGGAACGCAGATTGGAGCATGTTATATTTGCTTTCAGCTGGCTGCAAGCGTGTCACAAGACCCACCGTTCTGTCTCTGTTTTGTCACTGAGTGTATCTCAATCTTAACGGTCTTCCTAGACTTAATTTACAAGATAAATTGTAATTTGCAGGCTTAGGTGCTCACATTTCTTTCTTTCCTTCATGAGTTGAAGGTCTATTCTACTGCACTATGCAATACACGATAAATTAAGAGGCACATACATTTTGACTACATACCCAGAATTCCCTGCAGAGCACAGGAAAGTGCTTGGAGTGTGAAGTAGTATACCCATCTGAATCTTTTCTTGCTTGTCATTTGCAATTTGTTCTACTGAATCTGGAACAGCCACTTAAGAGCAGGCAAAGTGCCGTTTTATGAGAGTAGTATGAGCATAGACCGCCAAGAGACTACACACGAAAAGCAGAGTTGCTCAGTGACACCAGCATTCCTAGCTAGGAATGTCAAAGCAGCTGTGAGGCCCAATCTACCCTGCCTATTTTTAATAGGATATGTCATTGGGCCTAGATTAATTTCAGAAATAAAAGACACTTCTGCAGACATGTAAAGTGAATTTCTATGACTGCTGAATTCAGATTAGCATAATGCAATAGCGGTGTTATGCTGCTGATTTTCTGGCCATTGGGCCTGTTCCACAAGAAGCCGTGATGGGTGCAGTCACATTGTGAACTTGTAAGGCACGTGAGCCTCCACACAACAGCTAATGCATAACAGCCTGCACTCTGCACCACACAGTGCTAACAGGGAGGCTACAGTTTACCCTTTTCCTGGTAAATCCAGATTTACACAGAACAAATACTTGAATGTTTATGTCCCATACTACTCCTAATGGAATCTGTGGACATTCTTCCATTAACTTCTATAGAAATCAGACTGATTTAACTTTGGTATAGGGCCACAGCAAATAAATCCTGTCCTGTATGTTCAGATCAGAAGACTACTTCTGCAACTTTCAGATCAGGAGATCTTACTCTCCATTAAATACATCTGACTAACAGGATTTAGCGTTTATGTGCAGTTAAGCTCCTTGGTGTTACAACCACTTGATTCCTAATTCAAAAGAAGTGGGTGTGAACGCTCACATATCACTTTATCTTACTGTCATGGCAACAACATCCTTAAGCTGCAATGTCATTGTTAGTCGCCCAGGAACGGAGGGTCAGAGGATGTTCACTGCTTCCCCCCTTTTGTCGTTAATACTACAAAAAGTTTTGTTCTAGAACACTGAAATATCCACTATTGCAATATCTATTGCAGGACCATTATCGTGGATTGTCCTCACATATGTCGACAGATGCTACACATTCTATTTAATGCACTATATTTTTCCCTCTTGTTAAGAGAAGATAAACCCACATTACGACTAACGTCTACCTCTTTTTTTAATGGAATATATTTTAAGAAATTTAACAAGGAAGACTGACTAATAGTAAATACATTGTAGTTTGAATCTAAAGATTAATTTTGAAATAACCCTAAATAAAAAAAATAGTATTTGTAGACAGGTACCAATCTGGTGCAATACTCCATACAGTTGTAAGGACTGATTTCTACATGCTACAAAAAAATCAAATAGAACACAGTTTAGAACATGTCTTTTAATCGATGATGAATTTCTACAGTGCTACAGTATTAACAATCTCTAAAACATGTATCTGAATCTATAGCTCAACAAATCCTTTAAGCTTTGCAAATAAGTAAGTTATTAAAAGTACTATTTTGTCAGGTTTTGTCTGCACATACTGCTAATGATAATGCATTTGAGAAAAAATAACAAACACATTAATGAGCAGCTGCAGTGCATATACATTATTAAGAATCCTTAAGTACATTTCTGTACATGATATGCTTAGATAAATTTTTCTGTACTTAACACTTACAAAGCCACCAACTGAAACGACATAAAATACATTCAAAACTGAACAGAGAAGCAAGAGAACTGTGAATAAAAAAAGAACATGTTTCAGTTTACACAACATGACACAGGAAGTATTACACATTTTAGAAGCTCCAAAACCACTACCAGTTGCAGGCCTGACTGTGATAGCAAGTTCCCGTAACAGAGCTAGAGTGATCTAGCAAGCAGGTTCTCCACAGTTTATCTTGCTACAGCCAATGCTACTTTTTAGTCAGTATTACTATTATGACCTAAGAATTCATACGATCAGGTCTTCTCAACCTGAGAATTCAAAGGATCAATCACTTATTAACATCTATAAAGTCTTCAGTCCTAAAGGCACTGAAGGACCACTAGAAAGCTATCAGCAACTTAAAATACCGGATACTTCAATGCCTGAACCAACAGCGCCGTACACTATTAAGGAATGCAGCCATGAAAGCAAGTCTAAAGAGCTCTCTGTGCCAAATGTTCATGTGCCACTTGCGTGGCCTTGTAAAGCTTAGCACATCCTAGCAATGTTGAAATCTGTTTGAACAGGGTAACGTAGTAAGAGCTTTACAGAAATCTAGGATGTTTGTGTCTTAAGCTGCCATAACAAACATAAAGCAACACATTTAAATAGGCTACACTAAATCATCTACAAAAAGTTTAGCATGAATTTAAATTGTAAACTGTTTGATAATAAATAATACAGTATCTCTGAGTACATTTTAAAACAAAAAATTATGAAACAAAATTTAACCTTCAGAAAAGCTTTCAACGTTTTTGTTTAAAACATATTTAACCAATCCTTTATAAACAACTGCAGCCAGTTTGCCTGTGAGTTTGTGAGTTATGAAACTCTCCTGTAAGGTGCAGAAAGCTTACTTGTATAATTTTCCTTCCTTTTTTTCCTCAAATTAATTAATTTAGAATTCAATTCATATATTTTGCTAATGGAGAATCTACTTTAACTTGTAATTTATTGTAATGGTTGTAATTTATTTTCCTTGCAATGTATTTAATAATCACAAAAATATCCAAATATCCACTAAGGTAACCTACTGTGAAGAGTGTAAGTACCACAGTCAGAGCAGTAGCTACACCTAGATTTAAAATACACACATGTATTCCTGGATAAGAAAAGGTAGCTTTGCTTTGGTCACAAAGAAAGTTTCCATGCAATCCCTTGTTAATTATGCATTGCAAACTGTCCATTAACCTGAACCTAGCTAAGTGTTATTAATGTTGTTTAACAGGAATTAGGAGATGCAGCATACTGCACAGTTTCACCAAGGCTGTTAATTTTGAGAGCAGTGTGACACAGCTATCTTGGCATACCATTATTTCAAGAAATACATGCTTATAGATACTAATAAGATAGCCTAGTAGAGCAGAAAACCCATTTATGTAACATACCCTTTGCACACAGAGACCCTACTAGCTGATCTCCTTAGCTCCTTGTGCAGAGGGTATGAGGGTAGGTTTAGCTGCCTCTCTTCTCAAATCCTGTGCAGTAAGAAGTGTGAGAAATGTTGTGAGAAACTGTTGTATCAATTGTTGTTCACAATGGCCTCATTGACCTTCTTTGGCAGCTGATGTGGAGGACGCAGTTTCTCAATCTGATACCCCTTTGTATCAGCCGTGCCCTGACACCCGATTTGGCCTTTAGACATTCTAGGCACACAGCTGTGAAATGAGGTGATTCACCTTATCTGATCTGGAACAGCCTTTTCCAGTGGGAACAGTGGGGCAAAGGGGAGAAAAAAAAAAGAAGAACCCGACCCTAAAGAAATCCAACTGCGTTCAAATGCAGTGTTACCATCAACAGTAGCAAATGGCACTTGATGACTAGGAATTTCCTTCTATTCCTACGTATTGTCATGAATCAGCTTTATAAGGTTTGTCACAAATCAGCTTTATAAGCTCATACTCTATATTAATCCATTCAAGAAGGAATATATAGCACAATGAAGAATCACTTTTATATGAACAATTTGTTGAAGACTACATCAAAACATTAGAGGTTGATACTTGAATATGTTCCTAATCTTTCTTAAATAGGAGGTTTTCAATGCCTGAAATAATTAGCAATATTGCAGAGATGAATACAAAGATGAAGACAGTTGTCAAATAGGAGTTGGAAAGACAGCACCATATGAAAATCATACTTTTTTAGTATTCATTGCTTAGAATAAGTTAATGTTTCACTACGTTATGCTGAAGTTTAAGTAAGCATACCATAAATCCTGGCCCATCTGAAGTCACCAGTAAAATCTGAGTAGCTAGGATTTTACCTGCAATTCTCACTGTCCCACAGAAGATATTTAATGAAGTTTAAAAACAAAAGGTAGAGATATTCAGGCTTCAGTGAAAGACTTCAGTTGAAAAAGATGAGGAAGAAAATAACCTGTTTTTTTTTTTTTTTGTGAAGTATATGTCATGTAAATAATCTACCTGATAACCTCTCTGGTCTACATACCATTGAATGCAATACTGTAAATCATCATTAGTTGTAGTTTTAGTATTACTACTGCAGCTGTAAATCACTTTAAAAGTTCTATCATTACCTTGTATACGGATGCTTTATAAAAGCCCAAAACCAAGACCATAATGAACAGTGCCGTAATTTTTTAAGGCCCAAGTACAAAAGAATATAAAAATGATTCTTTGAATTCCAAATGATAATGTCCTTAAACCACATACAGAACAAATGCAACATGAGTAATACAATATTATAGCTCAGGTATTCATTGTATAATTACAGGAATAGTGTCTGTGGGAAACATTCATCCAGTAAAGGATTTCAAAATCAGATCCTTAAAGTATCCAATGCATTTTCAATAAATTGATAGCCATGGTCTTCAGTGAGTTGCGCCGACAGTAAAAAAGAGGACAAATAACTTCATCTAATCTTTTTTACTCATATTTCATTAAATTCTTCTGTTTGCTAACTGAGAAATGTTTCTAAGAGCTACCTTGATGCTCTCATGGACTAAAATGCAGGCAAAGTTTATAAAATAGTATACTAAGCACTTTGGACAAATACAACTACTAGTCTGAACATGCGTAATACAAGCAAATATTTTGTGAATCAGTAGTGTAAATGTGGTTTATAGGTGAAACTTTCAGTAATTCCAGTTGTATATGAAAAAGTATTTTAATAACTTATAGCACCTCGCATGAAATTTTTTCTAAAATATACAAAGATTACACCTTCTCAAATTGTTAGGAATACAATGATTCCATCTCAAGTCCACTGTGCACCTGTCATTTAAAAGGGAACTAATTTATCTGTAACAACAGAGATGTATAAATATCACAATTCTAAGGCACAAAACGGAATTCAGAGGTTAGGGATACAGTAAATCCTTGCTTTTTATTAAATCATCAGATTCACCAGAAAAGGTGTATCTACACTCAAAAAAAAAAAAATTGTATTATTATAGAATCACAGAAGCTAGAAATGGAAACTGCCTATTGAATTGTGTAGTTCAAACTCCTGCCAAAGCAAGATTATCTTCCAATATTGCATTACATCTAACTTAAAACCCTCCAAGAAATTGCACACACTGATAAGCTTTGCGGCATCATTCCAGAACGTAACTGAGCTTTGTGATGGGATCTTTTCCTTAAACTATTCATTTTCCTGAATTTTTATTTATTTGTATTTTCTGATAATTTACCTTGTTTCAATTTTATATAATGTTTTAGTTATACCCTCACACTATTAAGCCTTCTTCCTCTATATGTTTTTGTCACATAACATAAAGCTATACATACTTAACGACTCAAAACTTTCCTACTTCTGTTTCACTTCAATCAATTCTGTTCCTGTTCTCAAACCTTTCTGAAGATTGACTCAACTCTTCACTCCTGAGGTACCCAGAATGCACAATAGTATTCCAGAGATAACCTCATCAGTCACACTAAGAGCATTCTTAGTTGCAGCTGGTTGATGCAGCACATCTACATATACCCTCCTCTTTCGACATTAGTGATGCCAGAAGCAATTTCACTGCCTATACTACCAAGGCTTCTTACCACATTACTACATTTCAAACTTCTCTCTCTCACTGAGCATCCAAGTTTCCTCAAATGCATTCCCTTGTCTTTCGATTTCTTAGGCTGCATCTCATTCTTGTCTATATTTAATCTAGCTACCACTGGACTTCTCCCGCTCAGGTATTGTACAGTGTAATATCATCTGTAACTTTTATTAATATATGGTAGACACCTCTTGCAGATTACTGAAGATGTTAAACAGGATTAGGTCATCACATTATAAAAAAATAATTGGGAGGGAGCAATAAATATTGCATAATGAGATGATTTAAAGCACAATTTATATTTTAATAAATTATTTTAATTACATTTTATCCCACCTAGATTATTATAAAAAATAAAATATCTCACTATAGCTACAGTTTCTAAATATAATGCCATAATTTTTCTGTATACGTATTTGAACTTAGAATAGGAACTATGCTGACGATCAGTTTTATCCAAAAAACAAATCCTGCTTCAGCCACTGGCTAGAGAAAGGTAGGCACATCAAGACTATCCCCTAGCACAAGCTTTTTAGTATAAACACATCTACTACTCTACGTTTCTGTTAAACTGCAAATGAAAGTACAGAGAGATCTAAATTTGCACTGTCAAGAATTCAGCTCCTTTCAGAAATACTTTTGGAATTCTACCATGTGATCCTGTAACTCAGAGAATGTTGAACATGCTGACAGTACTTATAATGTAAAGGTATTATTTAACATAAAGCTGACTGATTCAAGTCCAACATAATTATGAACTCAGCTTTAGTTTAAACTAACTACTCCTAATGACACTTTCTCAGAGGCTCAAGTCGTACTAAATGTTGATAAAAATGAAAGATTTAGTATCTTAAAATAAGGAAGATAACATTAAGCCACCCAGTCTATGAAAAACAACATTACCTAATTTATGCTCTGTTTTCCAGAAGACTGAATTTCAGTATGACTGGTTAACTCTCCCTTTTCTTGATAATGACTACAGGTTTCATAGCAGAACGCACATTAGCCAGCTATTCAATCTGCTAAAGCTATTTGTCAACCTATTGAAAATAAGAAAAAAACTTGTCTGAAGAAATGAACAGTTAAACTGAAAGGTGGAGCCAAGAATGAAAAGGTAAGTCTGAAGATATGTTAAATTGTAAAAATAATACAATCCATGTTATTTTATGCAGTTGTTTATTCTTGTTCCATGTGTTAAAACTTGGACTCAGAAAAAGCACAGGAAGTTTTAGGTTTTTACCCTCACTTTTCTCTTAAAAGCACCATAGTTACATGGGTTGATTCAATCATCCTTTTCTACAATCACTTCTCCGTGAAGCACCTTTCTTCTCTGCCGCAGCATATGGAAGTAGAGTTGTGGAAATACTTGATGAAAGAATATAAAAGAAAGTAAATTAGATTAAAAAAATCCAACAGACCATGCTGAATTCTGCATACTGCTGAACTGAGGAAATATTATGATACTCAATGACACAAATGGATGAGGCAAATGATAGCAAGTCATGAACACGGTAAAATAGGGACTGAAGTCTGTTCAGAGAGGACTGGGGGTAGGAAGGGGGATTTCTGTGAAGATGGAATCTTAAGAGAATTTTGCTACAAGTTTTTCCCGAGCATGTTCAAATGGTGATTTCCAGAGGTCACAAGTAAATGTACATTAATAGCATTAGAAAGAAGGCAAATCTCTGGCACAACTTGCAGGACAATTTTTAAGTCATTGCTTCAAAGCAGGAGAGGCACTAGAAATTCTCAGCAAAACAATTACAAACATTTCTTTAAGTGAGCATAAAGCATTTTTTACTTAATGCTGTTCTTGGAAATGTTGTTAGCGTTTTCACTGAAATTTTCCAGAAAACTTATGTTTTGAGGCAGATAACAGGATGGAAAATTTCAGCCTAAACAATTAAAATACAGCAAAGCTTTGAGCAACAGAAATCAGGCTTTTATTGTGGAAAATGTTCAGTACATTTAGCTACAGGCTGTGCTGCCAGCATTGCTAACAATTGATTATTACGTTGTTAGTGCTACGAAAGTTAAATAATACTTACATGGTATATAGGAGAACATGATAACGATAAGGAAGTAATAGTAGTCAAAAGAGACATTGTATTTGTTGGGAAGTCTCACTGAAAATATTCCTGTTTTCTTCACATATGGTAAGGCAGCATATATAGTTAACAGTTCACCTGCAACTCCAACAGGATACAAAATGATAAAAAAGTTGTATCTGTGTTAAAAAAAAAAAATCCTTGTGAGAAACACCATGAATTTAAAATTTCCTCTTGCAATTATTAGTGGCACAGCAATGAATTACAGTAGTTCCTGTAACAAAAACAAGGACCAGATCCAGTTTCAGTTACTTTGGATAGCGCTACTTTAGTTTACAACTGCTGAGGATTTACTCCTCAGTCCTTTTATTCAATAACAGAGAAATGTCAGGGTGTTTGTATGTCCTTCTGATACTAAACGGTCAAAAAATTACTCCATAAACTCGCAGTCTCCAATAATGCCCTTTTACTTAAACATCCTATTTATTATTTACTGGTCTTGGTCCTGTTGTCACTGATTAGACTGAGAGCAGGACTGGATCCCAAATTTAGATGATCATATGTATCTCTGTCACAGCGCATGCAGACTGGATCAGCTCTGTCTATTACCATTTCTTCAAATGTCGTGAAAATCTTGAGAAACATAAGAAGCCCGTCTTTCCCACTGTCATATGGGAAGTCTAAATAACACTGCATCTACCATTTATGGAAAGGGAAATTAAAAATGAAAGAACACCAGAGTGCCATCAATTTAGCAGATGCACTTTAAAATAGGCAGAACATGTCCAAATGAAGGGCAAAGCAAACAAATTCAGTTTAAAGAAAATATATTTTGCATGCCATAGACCACATTCATGGTGAAAAATGAAAAATGTAATCACCAGGGTTTCCGTTCTTCTTATGCACAGCGTCCCATGCAGATGCAGCCGTTCCTAAGGAACGGCTCTCTTGCGTTCACGCAGGGAACAGCGGTGAGAGCTCTCTCACAGGAGCCGAGAGAAACGTACAGTGCCCATTCCATGAGCAAAAGAAATGAGATTCAAAATGGCAGCAATCGAATATGAAACCCTCTTAGCAGCCAATGGGCTTAGAGGACTCATAGGTCAGAGAACAGATTATGTGAGATATAAGGAGGAACTGATGCCATGACCTACACATAGATTGTCTCTGTGCAGTGAAAAAATACAAGTATAAATTCTGAACTAAAACATAGATTATACCTGTTCTATTAACTACGGATAGGCAAATCTTTTAAAGTCAAATTACAGATGAGAAAGGTCCAGCTTCCTAGGAGTGCTAAATTACACCCAGCTGTGTTGTCTGATTCTCCATAATACTTGATCGGAAATTTGGACTCTATGAAAAGAGAATTCATTTTCAAATGTTGTGTTTATAGTATATTTCACAATGCAACCCTGCTGTGAAAATGTTAGTTTCCCTCACTGTCTATTAGAAGAAAAAAAATTTTTTCACTCAAGATACACTAACTTGATGGTAAAAAGCATGCCAGTCAATGCAGAGCTTTCTGAATGCATTTCTCTTTCCTGAGGCCTATGGAAAAACTCATTAATGAAACAGTACCCTGTTATTTTTTAAGCTTGCCATTTACGGCTTAAACACGACCGAACCAACCACCTAAGGTATTAGCAAAAAGAAAGAATGTACATAAATATCAGCCACCTCAAAGAAGTGCATTAGAAGCATCAGAACTGCATATCTATAAAATGAAAATAGAGCAAAATAAACAAACATATACTTTTGAATAAATGGTCATCTGTAAGTCCGTCTGCCTGGGCACATATTTTTCAAATGATAACTACAGAAAACGTTATTCATCTAGTTAAGTGCCCTGATAAATACGCAGCCTCTGTAATGTATCTGATATACTGATACACCTTAAATGTGCTTCAGAATCAAAGTAGTTTTGATAATGAACACACTTCTTATGCGGGCTAAAGTATGTCAAAATTTAGTTTTACCATGTGAATAATAGCTTTACAAAACAGCAGATAAAGCAGAACTTCTCAGGTAGTAATAATATGAATAAAAAACGAGACACCATAACTCCCATAATTTCAAAGACTTGAAATCTATGAAGATTTATATAGATGCTTAACTTTGGGCATTCTATTCAAAAGCATCTTAAGGGGTCATACTATTAATTTAGAAGGTGACTCCAAAAGTAAAAGAAAAAATATGAACGTAAATTAAAACTAAGTTCAAACCATGAGGCACAGAAAGCACAGGACAAATCACATCCAAAACCTCAGATATTAAACCTCAGATATTAAACCAAATATCAATAACTCCAAATACAGAAAGCAACCAACTTGCACTCTGCTGACACATAACCAAAGCTCAAACATCTGCTCTCCTGTGTGTTAGCTCAGCATGCGTGAAACCGGCATGCACGGAACTATGAGAAACTAAAGTGCAAGACATCTCCACCTGGCCCATTTAATGAAGTATGGCAAATGGTTGAGCAGGTTGAATGTGTAGAAGGAATATCGAGTAATCTCTGTCACAGTCCATACGACCAGAAAAAGAATAACGCTCTCCTCATTCTGGATCTGCAGAAGTATAAAGAACCAAGACTTTCTTCATCCTTAAATTTCTTTTCTGTGCAAACTGTAACAGACTTCTGTTCAAGAGATGTGGGAAAGAACTAACATTTTGTAAAGAGAGAAAATGTTGGCATAAAAATGATATGCTGAAGACATTACCATGTACAGTTTTTTATCATATATCTTTACTAGCATACAGACATTTTGCAAACTGAACAATTTTTACCCATTGTGAGAATATCAATGTATCGCACCCTGTATTTCAGTTTATTCCTACTCTTCTTTTTCTTTCTGCAGTAGAACTATGCTATCTACCTATCTTCCTTTTTATTATTTTTGGTTCATTTACTTTTCTACTTTCTTTTTTCCTAAAAATAGCAAAAAGAAAACACCACTGTCTAAAATACGTTCCTTTCATAATCAGTTTTTACGCACTCTGCATTTCACTGCTCTCTGTCTCCTAACCTTTTTCTTGCTTTTTATCTAGCTCATGGACTGTTGTTGCTTCTTCCTCATCATATAATGCATGTCTCCAGGAAACTTTAGACAAAAATAATTGTTTAGTATAATCTAAAGACTGGAAGTGGAAACTAGTAGCAGAATATCATATCTGGGGAGCTGCGAGAGAGTTAAGCAGTTGGAACAGAGTTGGATCGCTGAAGTAAGAGCAGTTGGTAGACTAGGAGCTTTGGGTAAACTTACTCAACCGCCTGTTTAAGATTAAAGTTCTGAGTCATTAAACTGCCTCATCAATAGGTAGCGTATCTACCTGCTGTTTCAAAACAGCAGCTCATTTTCACTCTAAGTGAAACAAATAAATAAAAATCCCTAACTGCAAAGAAGGCACGTGGGGATCTACTGCAAACACTACCTTCTGAGATTACACACAAGTAATTTTCTTTTCTTTAAAAGGGGAGGAATTTGCTAATGCACTTCCATGCCTGAAGGCTGAAAAGCTCCAGGGACGTCTGTGAAATAAAATAAAGTAACACAAGCGTTGTTAAAATGACAAAAAAAAAAGAAAATATTTTTTAAAATAAAACGCAACAAGGTAACAAGGCTTAATACATCTCAAAGATGCTGCACATGCACAACTCTGTCAGAAGTAAAGAAGAAATTAAAGTGCTCATCATCTCCTAAAATCGTGCCCTCAATGGGTCAGTCAAAGAAGCTGCAGTCTTAATGAAAGGATCTCACCAACAGCAGCAAAAGAAAAGGAGATATAAAAATACCACAAAACCCACAAACAAACAACAACTGAAGTGCTAAGACACCCAAATATATGAGCAAAGAAAAAGACAGAATCAGGCCGTTCTTAGCCTCATGCAGAGTAGAGGCAAACACTGATAGCTCACACTTAGATTCATGTCACATTGCTAAATCCAAGCAGGAGCGCTTTATGTAAGTATGCAGGGAATTCCTACTTGTTGCCTTGCAAATCTCTAGTCAAGCGAGAGATCTGGGTCCGGCTATCATGCCTCTTACATGCCTCTTACCACCTAAAGTGACCCTGAACATTCATGCCCGCTACGCAGCAAAAGCATGAAATGCAATCAGACATACATTCAGATGTATTTTTCTTGGATACAGCTTTACTACTGCACTAGAGATACAGGAAACAGAGATGATTGGACATGCTAAAGATTTAATCCACTGCAGCATAACAGAATGGCAAAAATAGTGCCATATTCCAGCGCTCAGGTAAACATTCAGTGCAAAAAAAAAAAGTTAATCTTTGAGACTTTTTTTCCGTAAGAGCAAAAATAAAAACACTTAGCTGATCAAAGGAAAAAAAAAAAGCTATGAAAAGTCTATTCCGTGTTAAGAAATGTGACAGTAAAGGAAAAGATGAGGTGTAGAAAATGAGTTCTCTGTGAACTGAAATAAAGGGTATGAAATAAAGGGTACTGACACTGAGGCAGATGCTATCTCCCATCAGTGGAAAGGCACGTGCCATCTACTGGTGAGATAGTTTAATGGCTCAGCATTTTAAGCTTCAAGAAATGCAGGTGCACAGATTCAAAATCATTTAATTCTTACATGCCCTTCACAGAAAGCAGACCTCAGAAAGTGAACTGAACATCCTATCTACTAGCTCTAAGCACTCCTCTACTAATGAGTCACTAGACTCGCAATAACCATCTCCAGCCAGGCAAATAAATTGTCACCATTTATAGGGGACTGTAGCATCACTATGACATGCTGGACAGCTTGACATATTTTTAATGAAAACAATGGAGTGTGCATGCCATCTAATGTTAATATTATCTTAACTTTAAAGTCTTGAGAAGGTGCCTAACATAAATCGCAAAATCACAACCATGTTTGTCCACATGCATTTAATATAAGACCTACTTCCATTTAGATTCATTCAGTAAGTGCTAATTTACGTTCTTGAAAGGGAAGAGGCGACACTGTGCTACATTTGTTGGTGAATAAAAACACTAGTCTTTAATTTGACTTAGGCAGGCCACCGCTGGCACAATGCCAAAGCCAGTGACGACAAGACACACCTAAGATCCAGGCTCAGTCTCCTTAGAAGAGGCAAATCATTAGCCCAACTGCAGAAACTGCACTTAAGTATTTAACCATCCTCTGTATGAACTTGATTAATGTTTAAATCTGTCTTCCTGGCGAAATTAGAACCGTACTAATAGCTCCTCCTTAGTAACAATTAAAACTCAACTTGCTCACACACGTACCTGTTTTATGCTATGTGCAATGAACCACACCATGAAGATTCTTGAACTCACTTGGACCCCAGTCACAAGCACAGAGGTGCGAACTATTCCTTAAAAAGAGAAATATATTATCTCTGTTCCATAATTCGTGTTTTAATCAGTTACATGAGAAACTAAAACAAAGGACTCACCAACTGCACAGTGGACTACCTGTAAACAAAAATAAGTTAAAGGTTACTGATTTACAGAATGTCACTATCTATCTGCACTACAAACACGGCCTTTTTGATATTAATATAAATCTAGGCTTAATTCTGATGCTGGAATGCTACTTTTTACTCCAATTAACATTTCAGCATATTTAAAGGATATACACCTCAGAACCCTGGAGGTAATTCTCTGGTTGGTTTAGTATCTGATCTGTGTGAATGCTGTGTAAGAAAGAGATTTCTTTTCCTAATTAATTTTTATACATTAAGTATTCACATAATTAGAAATAATTTATTTTTCCAACAGGTAGGTCTTCCTTCCAGTATCTTATCCAAGAAAGACTTTTACAGGAAAATGTGGAGGGCACCATAAGGGATACTAAACACATAGCAATTTTAAAATGTTCTGTATCTATTATGGATTATTTCATCATGATCATTTTGTGAATTACAGCTATGAAATTTCTTTTTTTTTTTTTTTTGGACCAGTAATGCTCAGCAAATAAAGTGCTTTTCATTTTTTTGATAGATTCAAGCAGGAATACTTACTGTGAAAGTTTAACAGCGTAAAAGCTTACAGGTGGTGGCTACACGATTTTAAATAGTTCCTTGAACTACAGATGCTATGGGCAGATCCAGAAGAAGAGTGCAAATCTAGATGGGCACTTTTTGTTGCGCCTGAGAAAGTACCCAAAGGGCTGAATACACTCAGTAGTTTCATGTGACAGATGTACCATACACTGAGACCACTCCAGTCTAGAGTTGGCAAAAAGTCGCATCGTTTCAAGAACATTTTGCACAATTTGCACAGACCCTGCTGTTTCTGAATCATTCATGTTTCAATGCATGACTGGTATCAGATTATATGGGGCATGTGAACCCAATTTGGAAACAAGCAGAAACAGTAGAAGCATAGGTAGTTACTGGGTCCAGCAAAAGGAACAAGGGGAAAGCAGTCATCTTTGCAGGAAGACAAGACGCTTACTAAGCTAGAGGGTAGATCCACTGGCTTACAACTTCTGCTGGAATGCCTTTGGAGATTTCAGCTGCTGAGATCTACTACACAGCAGTTCTTAAAGATTTTCAAAGCAAAGTCATTCACAGGCAACATTTGATTTCAGGCAGTATTAGAGTTAAATTTGAAAAAGTATATCCATTCAGTCAATCACCTTGCCCCCCCCCCAAAAAACGTTCTTAAATAAGGTTAAAAGGACTGCAAATACTCCTATCAATATGTTGATATTAAGTTCAGGTTACTAATGTGTGTTTTTCCTACAATACACAACATCCAGTCAAGCAAATGTAATGTTTAAAATTTACCTCAAGCAAAGCAAATGTCTGGAAAAATTTAAGCGTCTTTTGAACACTTCTGAATAAGCCTTTGTGTGTTCCTTTCTGCATATAAAACCGCACCATGGCAATACCCAACACCAGCCACCTACAAAAGACAGAGAATGGATACATTTCAAATGAGAATTCTAAAAATATCCATCCACCCTGAATAATTTAGTAGAATAGTTTCTACAAAGAAGATCTTTGATTCTGCACTTGTCAGTGTTCTTAGGAGATTATTAAACATATCTTTAGACATAAATATTATTTAATATTATATAACCATTGCACTTTTATGTCGCTTTACCTGGAATAGGACAGAGAATGACTTGGTTATCTTCAGAGGATTAATTTGAACTGTTTAAACTGGGGGCGCTCAGACTTTTCCCTAACAGCGACTACATATTTTCACTCTTACATAATCCTGCATGTGTTTTAGCTGTTTTTACTGTGAATTGCTGTTATTTGAAAATATAGGATGATTTCTTTAAAAAAAAAAAAGAGAGCTGAGCACTAAAGTCACCATTTTGGACCTCAGGTTTCTACGAGCAAAGGACTAGAACCTACCCACATCACTGTTACATTTTTCACGAATGACCTCACAGCTCAACAGTTTTCAAAACTGACCAGTGATTTGAATGCTTCTGTTTATGATTGTCCAACTCAAGTTACCAGTAGGATCCATTTTTCAGAAAGTGTTGAGATGCCATCTTTGGCAATTAAACTCTCTGAAGTGCTGAAAAATGGGCAGTCTAGACTCCTGACTTCTAGAGAGAGAGATATGTAGCTAGCATATTTGATGGTCCTGGCTAATTTTTATATGTTTTTTAGGAAACTGAACAATCATGATCAACTGATCATCTTTCTATGTAAATGAAAGCAAGTAACAATATCTTTTAATTGAATTGAAATTTGAGATCAGAGTCAAATTGGATTCTCAAACTGAAATTGAGACCAAAAAAATAAACTTCATAACCAAAAGCATGAGCAGTTGTTTCCATGTAATTAATCTATGCTCATATAATTGAGATTTTCCAAACAGAGTACCATATGTTCTATTGTTAATGCAGAGATATATCGTATTCTTACAAACATCATGTTAGTAAGATGCCTTGAAATTTCAGGCTTAAACCACAAAGGCTAAGAAAATACAAAATCCCTTTAATATGGACATCTACTTATAAACATAGAGTTACAGATGGGTATTTTGACAGTTAGAAATGAAAACACAGAAATCATGCGTAACATGGAAAAACTACCTACATGAGCTTAACTTCTTGTCTGATTTTATCCGGGCGGCAATGATTCAATTCTTTCACCATACAGAAAGCCATAGCAAGCATGTTGTACAAACGCAAGCTCTGGCTAAGGAAGTCCTCACAGCACCGGGGTCTGAGAAATTTTTGGAGACGTATCTCTAATGTTTGCCCTGCTCTTACGTTCTTCTCTCAGTATCATCTACTGTCTAACACTGGAGATGAGGTACCAGGGAAGATGGATATTTGGTTGGACCTAGTATGCTAGAATGATGTGAGACTTGCAGGGATCAGGATAGTTCTCTATTCCCCTCCTATGGCATGTACTGCAGTTTCAGCCTACAGTATGCTGTATTCCCTTCACAATTCTCACACACAGTCTATTACTGCTCAGTCACGTCACTTTGCCCATTCCAGCCCTTCACGACAGTACTTGGAACTGACACGGAGTTAGGCTTCACCACACTATAGGAACGATCCCTCTCCTTTCTCTCTTCTACTTTAAGTACCAAGCATGATCTGCTAGGGCTCCATAATTTGCCACCACAAATATTATTTAGATTTTTTGACAGATCTTAAATATGTCTCCAACCTCCATGAAAATGAGGAAATACTGTAATCTCGCTGTTACTCCTTCACAGTAAGGCTGCCCTATTTTATAGGAAAGTATTTGACAAGAGGAAGGTGACAGGGAGCTGGCATCTAGCTGGCAGCACGAATGGGGACAGCAACAACTTTGGGCTAACAGTGGCCTGAGAAGTCATATACATCTAATCCAATACGGCATTTTCTGCACCTCATTCTGTAACAACAGGGTTGCACAGAGAGGTAACTTCTCAGAATACACTCAAAAGCAAAGACTGCATAAATGATTTTCTTAAATGAATTATTATTTGGACAAGAATTTCTGCATATCTTTTTATTTAGCTTTCAGTGACTTTGATTTGGGATCTCAGGAAAGCCCTTGTACTGACTATCGTAAATAAGCAGGAAATGGAAAACACTTTGTGCAATAAAGGTAAGATTTCCAGTTGGGATTTTCAGAAAGATTGGGTACTGACCTGTCATTTTAGTCTCTGAATAAACTCCTTAAACCTTTGTGAGAAAGAAAGATAAAATGCAATTTTTTATTAGGCTGGTTGTTAAAATTCTAGAAACACTTTGCTTTATTGCGCTGTCTGGGCAAATGGACAAATATACTGTTCTTGCTATTTATTTACATCCTTGCAGTGCCCCTGTTACATACCTACCTATGTCAGTTTTTTTCATTTTTCTCTTATATGGTATCTGCTTGAAAAGACTGAAAGAATTTGTTCCTATCTCTTCTTTCTCTCTTTCCTCATAAAATATGCAATTTTGCAAGTCTTAATCACTCTTGACTACAATGGAAGATGGAGAGGAGGAAGTGGGAGAGGCTGAATCAGCACATAAGGTCCAAACTAAAATGATTCAATAACCTTTTGCATACATATAAAGGTCTAGTGGCAAGAGTCAGTGTTCATCAGCCAATTCACACATACAGAACACAAGTGGGCAGTGAATGCAATGAGCTAACGTTAATCTGGAAACTAGAAAAAAAATCACAATGAGTAAAAGCACTTTTCAAAAGCAATATATGAATAGACTTCAGTATCTTTAGACTTTATCCCAGATGTTCAAGATTCATAGATGATAGTGGGCAGAAACCATTAAAAGCATATTCCCTGACTTTCTGCATCAGTTCTAGAACACCTGTTTCAACTATAGCACTTTGTTTTTAATCTGCAGAATTTAAATGATGGAAAACTTCACCAAGGTAAATTGTTTTAATGACCAATTTCATCCTAGAAGTCAGAAAACTGTTTGTTCTTAGTTTTCTTTTAAGCCTATGGAAATTAACAAGGCTTTTCCCAAGTGTGTTGCTAGAACTGCAGTTAACAGGATATATCTTCAAGAAGTGAAAATATGTGCTTCAAGAACTAACCATATAAACCTGCACGTTCTTAAAGAAAAACATCTTCTTTTCCACATAAATACCAACTTTTCTCCAAATAAGGCATTACAATATTGAGCGTTAGTTTAAATGAACACCTCGTGTTATTACAGGTCTTTTTTCCTTCATCGATCACCTTGCTCATCAGTGAAATGACAGCTAGCAGTGAATGTGACAACGGACCACATTCAGTCCTGGAAATTCCTACAATACCACCGACTTGCCCGAGTTCTGCTTGCTTAGGTCCAGGATTCACATATTTGAAAAAAAATATATCCACATGGCAAATTAGCTGTGAATTTACAAAGTCAGTTCATAACTTTACCCACGATAAACACAGGGCATTTTACCCCTCAGCAGAGAAGGACTGAGAGATGTGTGACCTGGGCTTTCTGTTTCAACACTGGGAAATTCAGGACTGTAAAACTGCAACTTGTGGGACCATACAAGAACACTTTCTAATACGCTTGTGAATTATCCAAGGCACAGCGTTCCTCAGAGTGAAACCGAGAGAGCTTCCCAGAAAAAACCCATCACCTCCAAAAACCGTAAAACCACAAACCCTAACTAGGTAAACATCTAATCCAGGGGCTTCTGGCCTGCGCCACAGCTCGGGGCTGCACCGCTGAACGGCCCCGTCCGCCTGAGAGGAAGCGGCGCGGGAGCAGGCAAACGGCAGCTCGCCCCAAACCCAGAGTCCCCGCAGCCTTCTCAGCGCCCGGGAGCAGGGCG